ATTCCTTTATCGAAATATTCGTGGGGGTAACAATGAAAAATATTTAACTCGTACGACGAGTCCCATAGGAATACGTTGAACGAGTGAACCAGACAACATGAGACTCGATCGAAAGCGAAAGACAAATTCGACGGATGTATAGAGCATACACGACGCGACAGATACGGCGAGCCATCACATGCAATTATTACAACAATTTTTATTTTTATTTTTATTTTCCCTACATTCCGAGAAACGATCGTACGTTTTCGATCGTATCCTTTTAGATGTTCCGATGGTCGAATTATTGCTTTATCATCATCATCATCATCATCATCATCATTATTACTATTATTATTATTATTATTATTATTATTATTATTATTATTATTATTATTATTATTACTTTTATTATTATTATTAGTACTATTATCGTTACTATTAATATTACTATTATTATATACATTGTTTAAAATAAATGTGAACGAGAAGAGATGATCTTTGATTAAAATATTCAAAATTCGGTGAAAATGCAGAGTCTTATTGTTAGATTTTCTTATAATTCATCGTCTTTTCCTTTCATTCGATCACGATCGCCTATCGATTCCTCGATCGAATCCGCGAGATAGTTTTAGAACTTAAAAAACTTTTCTAATAATACGAGCTTCGAATCTTCGACGAGAAAAACTGTAAAATATGCAAATGAAAATGAGTCAAGCTCGGAAACAAGATCTTTGAAGTTTACTTCTCGAGGAAATCGAGGAATCGGTCGTTCGTGGATTCGAGGGATCCTTTTTATGCGCTTCTTATCGAGTGAAACCGCGGAAAAATGGCTTTAGGCCACGACTTACCTACATATCGAAATATGGAAATAATTAAAATCGTATTGTATTCGATCTTTCGAGTCGAATGGTATGTGCGATCGAAAACGTCTTTGGAATAATAATATATAATATATCTTACGTAAAGTATGTAGGTATACTCTAAGAGGGCATTTTCTAGAAGATGAATTTTTTGCAAATTCGAACGACGTTGTTACATTTACATTTCTATAGTTCGCTCGTTATCATGAGTCTTCAAATAGGTATATCAAATATACCTTCTTCTTAAAAGTAATCCACGAGTCAGAAATGTGCCAGTCACGTTTGCAATTTGAACTTTGCTCCTTTTCTCAGACCCGACGTAGCTGCATTTCCTTCTATTATATTAAAGCCATCCAAACGGACGATTATTATCGTAGACTTTTCTACTTTCTTTTCTCTCCCTCTCTCTCTCTCTCTCTCTCTCTCTCTCTCTCTCTCTCTTGGTTTTTTCGTCGTCTCCAGTTATTTCAGCACCGAAAGAAAATACGGTAACGGAATATAAAAGAACCTTTGTCCGTTCCGACGCATTACTCTTCCCCCCCGAGTATGTACCAAAATGGAACACTAGAGAATATAGAAAGAAGCAGTATACTTTCCATTCTTTTCGCGATCGCAATGCTTGCGTTTGAAGGTTTTGAAATTTGAAAAAGGATTACAAAGTCGTACGTTCGATTCAACACATTTCTATTGTGAATTCGTGCGTAAATAGCGTTCAGTTTCTCCGACATACGTTTAACTTCGTTATCTTGAATTGCTTGAACTAGCTTAAATGAAGATTGAAAAAATAAAAGTTTGGAGATAGAGAAGGTTTTTAGTAGGTAGTAGTAGTACTACTAAAAACCTACTCGACCGTTTTTCGCTCACAAAAGACCAACATCCTCGTGCAGCAGCGTCGCATATAAGAGGGCAAACTTTGCATAACGACGGGAAAACGTGTAATTAAAAATTTTACTTGTTCGTTCATTTTCTAGAAAAAACAAGTAGAAATCTGATAAAATGCGAGACGATGATTACGAACATTATACTACATATATATCTATATTACTTATATCGCTCATCTCCTTTGAATAGTTTCGATCGATCTTTTTTCAAAGCTACGTACCAAAGGGAGTTGATTAAAGGCGATCGAAGAGAAATAGGTATTTAATTAAAATCAATGGAGCTTTCATCGAGAAGAATTACGCCATACCTACGTTCCGGTATACCAGTATTTCGTGATATATAAAATGAATTTCTAATCGTGGCTAATAATATTCATTGGTCAAAGTAATCATACAAAGTAATCGCAAAAGAAGACGCTCCCCGTTATATACGATATATTGCACCGATATACTTGTATATCTATTGTTAGATTCATATGTATTTAGAAGAGAGAGAGAGAGAGAGAGAAAGGGAGTTCATATATAACGTGCAAATTGCGATTCGATCTCGACTGCTTTCTGTCACTCGCCTACACCTTCGCGTGTCGTTGCTTTTCTTCGATTAGTTTAATGTTCGAGCGATAAGTGGATGAATTTTAAAAGTAATTCTAGGATCGTTCAATATTTTTTCCTTTCTTTTCTTTCTTTCCCTTTTCTTCTTTTTCAACGATTATTAATGATTCGTGTTAGTTACTTGTGATATACTCGACAGAGTCAGTTTCATTTTTAACTCAGCTA